ACATGTTGTTATCAGATGTGTTAAAATATATGGGGCTCAATGATTTACACAACAATATTTTTGTACTTCTAACTTTATAATTATCGCTATATTGTAAATTGTATGTTATGTAGATAAAAAATGTATTATTTATTTTTCCCTATATCTTTTAATTTTTTTTATTTTCACTCTAAAATCTCGGTTTATTTAATGCCGAACCAGATTTGACAGGCAATTTTGGCGGATCTTCTTTATTCATGACAGAAGAACTAAACAGGTGACAGCCACAAGACAACCATTAGTAAATAATTAACTGGATTAATAAGGGTAAATAAATAAAACGCTAAAACGAATCGCAAGCCTATCGTACGCCGTCGGCAAAATGTTTCGTAACAAATAACGTTCCATTCGCGATTGTGTGAAATAAAATTAAGTGAATATACAAGTGTTAAAGTATAAGAAAATTAGAAATAGGTAGAGGTATTCCTTATGTTTATTTTAATTTGTATATAATAAAATTTAATACAATTTATCATAATATGCTGTAGAATATGACATAGATAATAAATCAAATAATATAATATTGAGCTAAAATTATTGAATAATGTTGTATTAATATATTTTTATTTGTTAGGTAAAAAGATGATTGTATTTTAGCTGATAAATTATATACGTATTCACTAAATTACAATTTGTGAATGCGTCCTCTTCGCTATTTGCTGTGCCCTGTTCAGGGTCTATAAAAGTCAAAGCAATGTACCTACTAAGATCTAAGAAAACATTGTAGAACGCAATAAAGTATTGATTGATTGATTATGTTACACTGTATCCCACTTATACCTACTTGTTTGTTCTTAATTTGGCAAACGTTAGTAGTTTTATTAGTTTATTGTGTGTACTTAAATGTCTTATGATTATAAATTTTAAAAAATCATTTGCTTGAGATTACAGAACTGGTATAATAATTTAATAGAGACTAATGCTTGGACCATGTCCAATGAATGATGATATTCTATCTTGCTGACTTGTGATAATGATATTAAAAAACAATATATGTAATCTTACTAATTCAGTAATGAATATAAACGCAATAGAAAAAAACATAAATATCGCAAATATTTTATTTTTTTTTAATACCTAGTCTGAATTCAGATAGTTTAGCAAATACTTTATTACAACCTAGCTTAAAGCTTTCTGCGAATGGATTTTGTTTGTCGGTCAATTCAAAATTTAAATGTCATTGTATTTTATAAACTTATTTCTATCTATCTATTTACTTTTCTTACTGTTTTAAATTTAAAAGTAGTAAGGATACTGTATTTTTCAAAGTACATTATAATACTCAAACACAATAACATAACAAGGATGCTTTAGAATGTCTGTGAAAAGTCCATACCAAAGTTGAGACTGGAAACAAAAAAAAATCGAAGTTCCGCCACACCTACCGGCGCTACAAAGGTAATGAGCCGGTTATTTCAGTGCTTGTTTATTTACAAAATATCACTCCGTTTGAAGGCGGACCATCAAAATGAGTCGTAAACCTGAAAATTCCATAAAAAGTCGTGTTGACGACCTCTGTAATTGAACCCCGCTCTTTGTAGCAGAGACAATAGACGGAACCCTGCAGCAATCGATTAGAAAATAAGCAAAAGAATCGAAGCTAACTGTCCGGACAGCCAAGTATATTTTTTTGCCATCGAAATATCCGTACTTTCTGTGCTTCCCTAATTGAGATTACATTTCGCTCGCGTTTTTGTCAAACTTGTATAAGAGATAGTTCTGTACAAAAAAATGATTTCTTTTGTGAATAAAAAAATCTCCAACGACTGCATAGACTATTATCAATATTTATTTAAGTTAATCAATATATAGCACAGAAACAACGACGTAGATTGAAAAAGAAAATCTAAAAAAAAGGAATTAAATAAAGAACCTAATGAATACTGGCCGCTAATAAAAGAGTTAGAGAAATGAAGTCAGTCAACACCCCGTTCGTTCCGTTCTCAGCACGGTAGGTAACCCGATCCGCACTCGTTTATCTGCTGTCGAGCAATTATTGAAGCGTGAAAAGAAGCGTCCTCTTATTATTTACAGAGCGTTTTGTAATGCGGGCGTTCAGTTTTTAAAAAAAGATCGCATTTCCTAGTGCAGTCGCATCGTACTCCGCACTTCACATCAAAAACACCAGCTGTGTCATTCCTTCGAATTTCAAATAATAACTGCCGTAACTGTAGGTAGGTATACATCGAAAACTACAGCAAACTTCTATAGCAAAACCATAGACAAAAATCTTACAATTATTTTTTTATGTAAAAGGAAACCTTCGATTTTTACCCAATTTTGTACCTTGGTACAAATTATCTCAAAAAAATAAAAATTATATTTAAAAAGACTCACTTATCAAAATCTCAAACAAATACATTAAAAATTTCTGGAAAGCTGAAATAGAATAGGGAATATTTTAATTTATTAAGTATTTAACAGCTAGATTTATAAATCTACACGCGGATGAGGCAGCAGACGGGACTCGAACCCACACCCACCGCTATTAGACTTGTCCAGTCTGCTGCCTGGTCCACGCGGAAAAATTCAAAATATTACTATAATTTCTATTTCTTCTTTCAATAGTTTAATACTTGTAAAGGTATACATTTGAAATTGTGAGTTACCTACAATGCAAAGAAATGATGCTGCCTTGCAGCCATACTGGAGAAAATTCGACACGGACAATCAGGGCCGCGGTAGCATAGTGCATCCGCCCGGATAGCGGAGAGTGCGGGATTTTTTTTCTAATAAAATTTTCTTTCTAATAAGGCATCCGCGCGTATAAAAACGTTATTTACTTAGACGCAATTTGTCATTGACTGACAAATGACAGCTAATACTACAATCATTAAAGGTCTGAAATCATTTCCTTGATTGTGATTGGTTGCATCAAAAATCCCGTGACTTTTATCTGTGTTTTCATTAATTTAAATGTTTGAGCGACATTTTATGTGGTACAAGAGGATAATATTGATTAATAATTTAAATTTTTGATGAGTTTGGCGTATTTTTTTACACATAAATGCATGATAATACTTGAGGTACAAAATTGAGCAGAGTTGTATGGAGAAAAGACTGGATTCCTTATCTATGGTTGTTGTTGCTCAAGAAGTTTGCCGGGTTGTAGGTATATGAGCCGTGAAATTAATCATCTTCTTTGTTAAAGTGAAAAACTACAATCCAATTAGGTAAATATTATTATTAAAACTACAATGACAACAATGTCATTCTTTATGTTCTTTTAAATTATAAATATTGGCAAATTCGCAATATTTTATTTATCTTATATTTGAATTACAATTACTAAATCTGCAATGTTTTTTTTAAATGCTAATAAATGTAAACATTTGTTATGACTTTCAGTATTTTAAAAATGTCTAGGTACTTACATCACCACGAAATATTGCTTTTTACAAACACACCCGTCAGATTACAACTAAAACATCTACCTACTTGACTTGCAAAAAAAGGTTAAGAAAAAAAGAAACACAGTTGATGGCATTAGTGAAATCGTAATGGTGGAAAAATGCCAATACACATTAGCTTGATTGAAAGACCGCCGGGACTCTGAATGTTGTTTTTTTTACTGTTGGTAAAGCTACATGTTGAATGGAGAACATCAGTCAGTAATCGATAGGTTCTATGATTCAAAACATGGGTACAGACAGACATAATAGATAGTAACAAATAAAAAATGAATGACAATATATTTTTGTAGGAATTGACGACTCTAAGTACATTTAGAAAGTATAAAGTATGTGCAACATTGTATAGAGAAAATAAAGTTTATATTATTTATTATTATTTTTATTTAGAAAATATTTGTAAAGCTTACAAGAACTAAGAATATTAAATAATTTAAAATTAATTTATTGTAAATTGTTGTACTGTTTATTTGTTCTGCTTAAAATAGTTTTTTTTTTGTAATACCTGAACAATCCATTATAAAAAAACGCTTTCTTAAATTTCTTCTTGTCTTCTGATAAATTAACGCCTAATGAAAACATGCATAATCGGATTTTTATAAGCCACGTCATTAAAAAGAGTTTATCCAAAAATTTTATTATAAACCACATTGGGCTTAAACAAAACATATATATGAGATCATAATAAATAAAGTAGGCAGGCTACATAAATGTAGATAAAGATAACTGGAGCGTATAGTCATTCAACACTCAAAAGTGACTTCATGAAGTCAAACAAAATAATGACTCATGCTACGAGCGTCCTGGGTAGTGAGTTTCCGCTCACCAATAAACAAACATTAAATATTACAAACATAAACCGTCAAATGTGAGGAAAAAATTAAAATTAACGCCTCCCAAATGCGCACTTCCCGCGGACATTACATTTTTAAAAACGTATTCGAGCAACGGCTATATAGGCCTAAAGCAACCGCGCTCCCACAACAGAACAAGATTTTTTAATCTAACTTTAGCGTTTGTAAAAATTACTATTTAAAAATTTACACGGAGGCCGCTAATTAACTGAGATTTAACCCTTCCGTCGCCGAAGCTCACTTGAATATTTAACCCGGTGGAAATATTTGGCGCGTATTAAAATGTTAAAAATTAATGCCTCCCGACCTCACCCAGCGGAGTTGTAAACTTACGCGCTCACTTTGATGACTTGTCTCTTCCGTAACCTTGTCATTAAAATGAAAGAAAACTAGGGATAACTAGGTAATTTTCGTTCTTAATTTCCTACTGTCGCAAAAAACAAGGAACAAAAATGTGGAGTCACACAAAATCAATATTTTACTTCACTCAAGGAAAAGGAAAGTACCGAACATTTTATGTGTAAGGTAAACACGAAATAAACTTTCTGCTATATAAAAATGAATGCGGAAAATAGGGCAAACTGACACAATAACTAAAATCATGAATGCGTCTAAATCTATCTATCTAAAATTCGTGGTATGCTAACACTACAGAACACAATCCCACATTATATACACATACGGGTGTAAAACGTACCTTGCTGTAGTGCAGTCCCTGTAGAGCACGTCGAAATCCTTGCAGGAGAGCAGTTTACAGCGGTTGACGCCCGGTTGGATGGCGCCCAGGCCGCGCAGGATGCGCACCTGTTCCACATTGCACACCAGCGGCACTATGTCCAGTCTCTTAAGTTTCGTATACACTGTGTGCAACCCACCGACTAGGTGCTTGAGGAACAGTTCGAAAGCCTGCGGCAAGCACAACATCGTATCGCCTTGGATGATGAACGCGGCGACTTTCTGGCCCCGATAGTCTACGAGCTTGCACTCGTTGGCGGAAGGGTCGGACGTGGAGATGGGCGGCGGGCTGCCGTATCGCGGTGGGCCGTGGTGATGGGCCGCCGCCATGAGCTCGAGCGGCGAGTGGTGCATCATCTGCAGGGAGCCCAGCAGGCCGAGACCCGGCGGCGGCAGCGGCAGTCGCGGCGCCAGCAGCTGCGGCGGGCTCAGCGCTCGCGCCGGCGACGCCGCCTTCACCCTCGGCGAGCCCCCGGAGGAGCCGCTCACCTCGCTCGCGGTCGACGCTGAGTCCACGGCGGACTCCATGCTTCGTAAGTACTGACTACGCGCGCATCACACACCCGTCGCGCGCGCTCTTCCGCGCAACAATAAATAAAAAGCCGGAGGAAAACGAGGGCGCGGCCGCGTGCGCGCGCCCGCCCCGGCGCCCGCGTCTCATTGGTCCGACGCCGGTCTGTGTTCGATTCGATTGGGTGCCGCCGCCGTCGCGGTGTCTCCGCCCTTTTTTCGTTGCGTTCCGATCCGAGCGCGCGAAGAAACGTTCCTGTTTCTTTTGGGTGTTGTGTAGAGCGGCCGCGCGCCGGCCGGGTTGTATTGATAAGAATGTCACCGGTAATCAATATGAGCCTAGATGCCGCTGCGGTATAAACGTGTACGACTCGACGCCACGCCGCAATATGTATGCTTGTATGATGTTTCATTTGTACGGCTTCCGCTACAATAAATTAAATATGCGTGAAAGCGGGACTGCCGAAATAATTCGTAGCCTCGCAATCTAAAATCCACGTTGACCTAAATAAGCAAATGTGTTAACGTTACATTTTTTCATTTGACACCGTAGGTATCTACTATTTTTATTTTTGTAAGTTTGAACTATTTCAAAGTACTTACATAAGTTTGTAGAGATGCTTTCTAGTAAGTTACCTATAAATTAGTTATTAATAGTTGATATGCATTTGTCAATATTTTGAATAGATCAACTATTTATGTACTGTAAAAAATACAATATATAAATTTAATTCAATATACAAAAAGGGAGAAGTTTATCAATTTGTCAGTATATTAGATTTTTTATATTTTTTGTTTGAATAATATTTTTGGCGAGATGGTCCCCATATTAATTTGAAGAAACATGGAAATCCTCAATTATAATATGGTATTCAACTACTAATAACTAGTTGATGTTACTCTGATTTATAAAAATTGGAAAAAAAACACTTTTTTAAGAAAAATAAAAATCAACCTCAATCAAATAAAAATACCTTACTCGAAAGTACATTTAAGTTCAAATTAACATTTGGAGTCAGTGCCATGCATGTTGACAGATCTAAGTTACAGTTTTTGCTTATGTTGGCCTGGGACCGACACCAAAATAATGTTAATTTGACTTTAAATGTACATTCGATATAAGTAAGGAATTGTATTATTTATTACTTTTTAGCGGTTTTATATTTTAGGTTAGTTTTTATTTTTGTTAAAAATGTATTCTTATGAAAAAGAAATATTAAAGTTAACTACCATCAGACCTAACTAAAATTACAATACCTACTACTGCTAAATTAATATATACGTAGTATAATTTATTTAACTTACATAAAGGACATGGTAAAATTTTGTATGCGCGATTGACTGCCCTAGCAATGAATAAATATTGTACTTAGTAATATTTAATGCTGAATGTTTATAATATCTATGAAAAAAATGGTCTGGAACTTTTGAAGAAATCTTGAAAATTAAGAGAACTCCTACAATGTTGCTACATTGGATAAACTATTGTGCCAATTATTTACAGAACCACATTTGCGCATTTTCTTAGGATCCTTCCTGCCATTTCTCTGATTAACACTTCACAAAAACTGTTTTTAATGCAAAAATAATTTGTTGTCATCGGCCTGACAGGAAGTCTGTGAAGTTTTATTTTGATCATTTGCAAAAATTAAATTATTTATCCTAGCCTTGCCTCAAGCATGATCAGAATAATAAAATCTGCTATTTTAGGCCCCGAATGATTTGTTATAATAAAAAAAAGTGCCATATTTGACACTTTTTTAAGGAGTCATACTTTTAAGGAGTTTCAGTTATATTAAATAAAATATTATAAAGTGGTATGAGAATAATAAACACGTGATAAATAATAAAAAAATATTATAATGTTATGGGCTAGTGCAAAATAATTATACACGTTAAGGGCAGTTTCTTGGCCATGTCCTTTGCCGAAAAACTTAAGTCTTGAAAAAAAAGGCTATTGTGGAGTTCGTAAATAAAGAAGTAAAAAAACTGGATACTTAATTTTCAAGTAATACCTAGGTAGGTATATAATGATAATAATTCGGTCGACTTTTTACTGTAATTTTTAATTTTTTCGTTTAATAAGAGTTCAACTTTATCTTCTAATACGATTTTAATTTCAAAAATTACATGTAAGCTATCTGTACTGATGTAGGTAATTAATAAATAAATAAAACATTAAGAGGCACTTCACTAAATGATCCTAACCTATGTCATCATCATCATCAGCCTATTAATGTCCCCACTGCTGGGGCACAGGCCTTCCCTATGGATGGAATAGGGAGATTGGGCCATGACCCACCACGCGGGCCCAGTGCGGATTGGTGGGTGTTAACGACTGCAGATGCAACCGGGACCAACGCTACCACCAACAGTTGCGCCATCGAGCTCTCTCTCTATTTAACCTATATATCTATTGTGTTTTGTTTTATTTTATGTCAATCAATACTGTAGGGGTTGAAAGTATTAAAACAATACTGATCTCAAAATGCTATTGAGCATATAAAAAGCTGCTTCAACACATCCCGTCTCCGACTTTGTTACGTTCTACCTCTGTATTACTATATGTTTGCAAGAAAATAGTTATTTAACCCCTCGCAATAAGGTACAAATTAGTTTCCGCCTATACGAGAGAAGGACACACGTGTATTTCAATGTTCATTGTTCAGAGTATTTTCATTAAAAGTTCTCTACATGAAGAACTACATTGTATTTTTGATTGTCAACAGTGTTCCTTGAGATGTTACAGTTACAAGCTCGCGTAAGGATGCTTTCAACCCTCACTATTTTTGGAATTCCGATTTATTTTATAAGGAAGAAGGTAATATAACAATAACCCATTTTTAATTGTTATTTTACAGAGCTGAAACTGTTACTTGGTGATGTTTTTCTTTGCAAAGAATAATACTCTTTAGCTTGATAAAGGGTTTTTAAATCCATTCCAGATAAATAAGCAAAAAGCTGAAAGTTTCTTTTTCATTTGTGAAAATTTGTATAAAAAAGACAACACAGCTTAAGAAATAAAATTGCCGGTTTTTTATGAGAGGAGGAGGACATAGCGAGTTTTTCGACAGAATTGAAGCAATCGTCTGGGCAAATAACTTCCGTCTTACAATACTTAACACGAACCAAAACCAATATTGAACTCGAATAATTTACGAGTACATAATTTAATAATTGTCAAATGTATACTGGTTTTAGTTCTTGTTACGTCCGTTGTGGCGCTTCTGTTCCAATTTCCGTACAAAATTTGACATTGACATTTCGCACTCGCAAACGATTCAAATTCGATATTAGTTCGTGCTACCCCTAGCAGACTACAGAAGTGTGTAGCGAAATAACTCTGCCTTTTAGAGCGCAGTAGTGTTTCAGTCATAATTTAATACATGACATTAAAGAAGAAAGAAGAAATTGATTTGAAAGTTAGTGGGCAATTTCGACGATGTTTTTTTTGTGAAGATACTAAAGAAGAAGGTATTATGTCAGGGCCTTTGAAAATTGTAAGAAGTGAAAATTGACAGACAAAAGGAAGTTGACAGATTAAAAAAGGATGAAAATAAATTAGGATCGATTTGAGGTCAGGAAGGGTGGGGAGTGACTTTTAAAGGGGGTAAAATGGTTTATCGCGATTTTCTGAAAAACTACTACCGAAAATATTTCAATGGCAAAATTGTAGGTAATCAAAAGATACAACTCTTGTATTTAATTATTTCACACACCTTCAAATATCAGCGAAAAGTCAATATAACCGAGTTTTGTATTTTTATTATTTCCTACAAAATAAATATTTTTTTCAACGACATTTCGTGAAATTTTCCTTGTTTATGTCCCAAACACGCTCTATTTTTTCTGCTAGAAAGCATTTATTTTTACTTCTTATTTTGATACCGAAAAAGTAATCTTATTTTCAATCGAAAATCACCCGTCAAAAATCTAAGTTTTAAAAAAAGTTGGTCCACTCTTCGTTCTTTGGAACCTCTTCTTTCTGGTGGTACACAAAAATATATACATTAACTAGCTGACCCAGCGAACTTCCTACCGCCATAAAAATAGGGGCAGGTGGTAGAAGAGAAAATTTAGGGTTGTATGTATTTATTATAAAAAAAATTTTAGGGGTGTGTAACGTAGTATTCTATCAATTTCCTGGGATAACATTCCTCCTAACCCATATATGAGAACACTACGTTACAATCCCCAATAGTTTGAATTTTTGCGCGAAGGTGTATTGTAGGTTTCAGAATACTACGTTACAGGTGGACAACCATTATCACTTAAGGATATGGAAAATTGATAGTAGCCGATGCTCAGACCCACGGAATATGCATATAAAATTTCATAAAAATCGGTCAGGCCGTTTCGGAGGAGTATGGTAACTAACATTGTGACACGAGAATTTTATATATAAGATTTGCTGAGAAAATGCAAAAGCGACATCACGATCCTCGAATTTTTAAAAGAGGAAAACGGTTTATTGCAAATTTTGAGAAAACTTACATCAATCATCTATATCAAAACATCTATGTAAAAAAATTAAATGTCAAAATTGTAATTACAAGATCTACAAGTTTTGTTTTTACACGATTGAGAATAAGATTGATGTTGTTGATTTGATGCTGTTACGATTTTTTGTGGTTGTCACACTATGCTATTGGTACTTAGGTACCTAAGTACATCTGTGGCGGGAGAACTTACACAAAAGTTTAAAGAAAAACTGTCGAGAAACTCAGCAAAAGCTTTTTCTCAGCATTCTTTGGATCTTATATTTATTGCTAGCGTATTCGCATTGTTTATAAAAGGTCCGGATGAATACCCTACTACAATATTGCCTTGACGGCCCGCTTGGCTTAGCTAGCGGTTAGTGATCCTAACTGCGAATAAACTGCCCCGGGTTCGAATCCCGGTAGGGGCAAATGTTTGTGTGATGAACACGTGAATTTACCTACCTACCATTGATGTTTATGAGTAACTAGCTGTGCCCCGCGGTGTTACCCGCATTTTTTTAGGGGCATTATACCGCAGTAAAAAAAATATTCTATTTGTTAATCCAGGGTGTCAGCTAACTCCATACCAAATTTTATTAAAATCGATCTAGCCATTTAGACGTGAAGAAAAGTAACAAACATACAAACTCACAAACTTTCG